GCGTGTCCTGCACTTCCTGGCAGCTCTGTCATGGTCCCACAGGGATGGCTCAGATTTTCTTGCTGAAAAGCAAGAAGTGACATATCTCCTGGAGGTAGAGAGCATGAAATGGGCATCACGGTACTTTCTCCCAGAGAAGACAGGGAATGTGCCCACCCTCCTGCACATCCCAGGTCCTCTTCCCCAAACCTGATTGCTAGTCCTGTCCTTAAAACAACCTCTCATTAGAGCAGGGGGCCAACAGCCACACCAGGCCACTGGGAAGGGAAAAGGGTCAATTCCATGCTCCCGAAAGGGGTGGGCTCTTGGGTATGGGGCGGGGCTAGGACAGCCAGCCCTTAGTGCCACCAGGAGCACGCCACACTGGCCCCCAAATTCCACCCCTGACAGTTGCTCAGAGCATGTCGCTTGGGGATCAGCCTTTAGAATTGCTGGGCACCGGGCCAACTCCACCTTTTACTTCACCCCCTTGGTGGGCCTGCTTTAGAGGTTGGGGGTAGGGAAAAATCACTTCCTCTCTATGTCATTGGGACCAAAGTGTCTCCAGGATGCTTTCCAGGTAGGGCACAGGATTTCAGAGTCAATTTCAGGCCAGCTCAAAAGGCAAATCTCCCTTTCACTGTCAGAACCATCAGCTCTGGATGTCACGTCACCTTCATTCTCTTCTCCCTCCTTTTCTAGACCAGGCCCCTCTCTGACACGAAATGGAGGAAGCCACGTCTATAGGCCAAAGTGTTCTCTCAGGCTATGTCTACACTGCAGAGATTTTGTGCAAAAACTCGCGGAGCGTCCACACTACATGCACATTTTTGTGAAAAAAAAAAGTACAGCAGCTCATCAGAAGACAGGGCTTTTTGCACAAGAGTTATTCCTCTTTCTACGAGGAATAAGCCTTTTTGCACAAGAGTTCTTGTGCAAAAAGGCATGTGTGGCTGGACAACAGGTGCTCCGAAAAAGCACAGGTCAAATTCTGGCCAGCGAGTGAGGTGGGGTATGGCAGGAAAGCCTCTGTGTGTTTATGACAGGAAAGCATCTGTCCCTCCTCCTGTTTCTGGGATAGCCTGGGTCTGTTGAAGGAAGCCATGTCTAGCCTTCATCGGCCCGTGAAGCAATTGCAGATGGGGAATAATCTGCTTTCCTTGTTATGCACATCTCCTTTATGGCCAGTTCTTTGAGAGCCAGGGGCACAATAGCAAAGCCATGGTAGCAACTTTAGAGGTGTTTTCATGGGATACAGATTGTGCTCTGGCTCTAAGAGAGAGTTACAAGATTCCCTGCACCACTAGAAGATAATGCAAATTCCTAGGTAGGTAGCAAGTCTACTGAAAGCTTACCTCCATGTGGAGTGGGGGGACTGCAGATGCTAGTTTGATCAAGTTCAAGAGGCATGACATTGTGAGTGTGTCTAGACTACAGAATTTTTTTGTAAAAAGTGGCCTTTTGTAAAAAGTTTTGGAAAAAAACTTCCCCTACGTCTAGACTGCAGCCGCATTCTTTTGAAAGTAAATCGAAAGAATGCAGCAATTTTTTCCATCTGCGGAAAACCTCATTTTATGAGGAAGAATGCTTTTTTTTCTAAAGTGCTCTTTCGAACAAAGGCGCTATGTAATGCAAACTGTGCTTTTTCGAAAGAGAGCATCCAGACTGCCTGAATGCTCTCTTTTGAAAAAGCGGCTTGCTTTTTTCAGAAGTACTGGTTGTAGTCCAGAGAGGCTTGCAGTCAAGATGTAGCCAATGAAAATGGTCAATAGTGCCAACCCGGCGCTAGAGAGAACAGTCACTGACAGGCAAGCCTGGAACAGACATGAGACTCCAATGTTTCCTTGTATGTTGTGCGCTCGTATGGCCATTTCTCAGAGATTCAAATGCCACACAGATGAATAGCAGAGCACCCACAGCTAGGTTCTTTGTTTCTACTGGTGGTGCACATTCACACATGCCTCAGTGTGCATAAAATTTATTCTTCACATTCATGGGAAAAAATCCACAAATGGATTGAAAAGGTTAGAGGGAACATTGGCTTTGATCCAAAGGGCCAGGTCCCAAGAGAGGCCCTGAAATTCTTAGAAATCAACCCCAGGCTCTGCATGGAGAATGGGGGACACAACATAAGTCAGATGTGTGCATAAGCTGGTTTTTTTTCTGGAGATGTATTTACTCTTGAATGCTTTTGGTGTGAATACTGTTTTGCTTTGTGAAAGTTGGCGAGTCGCTAGTGAGCTGTCCTTGCTGGCAGGTGGAATGGGGCAGACATTCCTGCCCCAGGAGAGGTGATGGCTAGAAAACTCATTGTGGGGTTCCAACATATCTTGCTGTGACAAAGTCTCTTGCCCACACTGCGAGTCTAACAACACGCATTAGCTAGCGCTCTCCAATCCCTGTTGGCCCCATGTGTGTCATTGGGAATTTGCATGAACGTTTGCACTACATATGCCAGATTTGTGCTTGTCACTTGAGGACTCAGTATTGTAACAAAGGAGTCAGGAGTGCAGTTTCCTTGGGAACTGTGAGACAGTAAGACAGGAAGGGGAAGAGGAAACGGGAAGGAAACAAATCTAAGCTGAATTCTGCTGGAATAACTGGTGTAAACCAGTAGGTTACGTCTACACTACAAGGTTTTTGCGCAAAAACTTGGGGAGTGTCCACACCTCAAATGAGCTCTAGCGCAATTAAATGAGCAGTTAAACAGCAGAACAGAGGGCTTTTTCCACCGAAGGTAAACCTCCTTTTCTGAGCCATAACTGCTTTTAGTGCTACAGCTATTACGCAAGACATCCCTATGGGAAAAAGCACAGGTACTCTGATGGCCATTCTGGGAATGGCCATCAGAGCTTTCTTGCTCAAGAGTGTTCCTGGTAGTGTGGACACTCTTTTGCGCAAAAGCAGATGGCTTTTGCAATGTGCTTTGACGTGTGGATGTACTCTTGCGCAAGACGTTTTTATGGAAAAACTCTCGCACAAAAGGCTTCTTGCTCAAGAATCATGTAGTGTAGATGTAGACGTAGAGTCTGGTGTTATTTCAAACTTTACATTGCCGCACAAGTAGGCGGCAACCTAAGGACTTCCAAGGAGTTTCTCTGGGTTTGCACGGGTGTCAGGCAGAACATGGGCCAGTGCCACACCTGTCACTAACTGCTGAGTTTGTTCCCCTGCAGGCAATCATGAACAAACTCTGGTTTGGCTACGACCTGGAGCATGCCATCTCAACGCCCATTCTCCATGCTGCCATGAACAACATTCTCCATTTTGAGAAAATGTTTGATGAGGTGAGCAGCTTCAGTGGGCTCACCCTGCACTTGTTTCCTGTCCTTTGTGCTGGTTACAAATATCACTGGCAGGAAGCGGAGGCTGCTTTTTTTTCTTGCCATCCCAAATGCTAGGAGGCGTCTCACTTCCAGGGGGTGTCCCTTTTAGTTAAACCCAGTCTCTGGTCCAGCTGCACAACCGCTGTTTCCAGCCCCTGGACGAATAAATCCAGATGCAACAGACAACAGTGGCCCTGGAAAGACAGCGTTCATTTTTCTCCCACTCTTCCCCTTTCAGGTTGTGAAGGGGGGACTTCTGAAGAGAGGACACCGTGAAGAGAAAATGCTTATGCTGAATGTGGTGCAGGGGGTTTCCAAAGAAGGCGGATGCATCTTTGCTTATTCTGACAAAAGGAAGATTGGAAAGTCATCTGGATATTAAGAACAAGTGCTGTAACAAGCACTTTATTCCAGCCAAAAAGAGTGTGAAGTTATTGGGGTCAGAGCACCAGCTGGCCTAGAAGCACCACTCACATCTCCTGTGCCAGGCATCTTAAAGCTTCTTAGAAGAATGTGTGGACAAGACTCATAGTAACAACTGACCAGCCAATATACAGCAAGCTACCTTCATGTTGTTACAAGTGCTAGTCTTGGCTAGACTCATAGCCTCCTTTTAATTTGGTAGCAGGGCCCAGAGGACAAAGGAGCAGCACTTGTGTGATATATAGAAATATATTTTGCAAACAGAGCAGCTATTAAGAATATGAATCCAGAAACAAGGCATTAACCAAGCAGTGGGAATTTGAAACAGGGAACCAGGCCCAGTACCAGTGGGAGCTGTGCTCAGGGATCTGAATGTACCTTCCCCAGCCTCTACAGTTACTCAAAGCAGGACTGCTTTCTTTCTAGCTTTGGAACCTCCCAATCAATCCCTTGCCAGGTGTCAACGTGGCTTCTGGTCCCACCGTTCCTGTGCAATAGGAAGCAATGACTGACTTCTTTCTTTCCTCTGATGTGTTCCCAGCACCACCGTGTTGCACAGCAGAGCTGCAAGTGACAGCTTTGCATGGATGCACAAGAAAGGAGTGACTCTAACAACATTTTGTCTAGCTCTTGCCACCCTGTCACTTGATGGTAGAATGAGCACAAACGTGATTTGGTGACTGCTGGGGAACTCAGCTACTATTGGAACGTGGGCGACTTCCCTAGCAGCGCTTAATCTTTCTTAGGCCCTGCCTAAAAGGGAGCCGGTGTAAACTGTGACTTTGTAGTAGCACAGACAATGTGAATTCTTTTTGCCTTCAGAAGACGTGTTGTTACAGGTTGTCTTACAGGGTCACACCTCCCCATCCAAGCCTTCACTAAATTGCCTTGCTCATCCTTGTTCTGCACTAAAGCAGAGAACAGGCCCCTGGATGATTTGACATGGAAAGAAAACGAAATGGGGTCAGAGAGGAGCCTTTCACATAAGGGTGCTGTTCTAGAGTCATACTCTGTGTTCTGTGGCTATTTCATGTCTCTCTGCAGGAAGAAATGTGCTTCACAAAAAATAGTTGCCTCTGATTAACTAGTGTGGGTGAGCCACATAGTCCAGAGAATGAGAGAGACAAGTGTAATATTAGCTCTTATGCCAAAGAGCTAATACTTCTGTAGCAGGGGAGCAGCATAGTGCTCCCCTGAGTCACAAGTGGCCTTGGGGGTTAACTATACCTCATCCCTGCCATAAATGTGATTGGCCATGCAGCCACTGCGCTTATATTTGTACATTGATCATTTTAAAGGGCTTGAAAAAATTCATAGGACCAAACATTCTATGTGCTGACCTGCAGTCACTTACATGTACAGGGACCGTTGGTGGCATGCAGGAATTTGAGACTATGATACGCTTTTCAAAGACTTATTGAAAACTTTGCCTTTAACAGACTTATAGTGCCTTTTTTTTTGCACTAATAGATCCCTATTATGTTAACATATATGAAGAAATGCAAATGCATTCATGTCAGACCTTAGTATTTTTACTCCATTCTCTTTTTAAAAACTCTTCTCCCATCACTTTTTTAAAACTCATGCTTAAAATGTCTTTACAGAGCCTTCTGATTATTATCTTTTTGTTACCAATGGCTAAGCACACACCTTTAAAAAATATTGTATATCAAATGTAACCAGATTGCTGGCTTCCTGCCTGCCTGTTCTTCCTATAAGCCATGATCATGTAACTGAAACATTAGTCACTTAGAAACTTGCTGACTTGGAGACACGAAGTCAGCTTTTAGATGCATTTTACAGCTATTGAAAATGAAACTTGCTCCAGAAAGCATTTTTCCTTTAGAAAATACACCAAAAAATGTCTTTATTGCCTCCATGAGAGGCTACAACTGCATCATATTGTTTGCTCGTACAGAAATATGATTGCACAAGCTACAGGAAGTTGATGGTCTGTCTGGAACTTACCACGTGACTAGTACATAAAGCATGTGTTTTCCTGGCATGGCGCTTATGTTTTAAATTACTGCCTGAAGCAGTAGTAAATGTGACAGAATGTGATGGGTCGCAGTATGTTCTTGCTTTGCTAGCATTCACATAGAATGATAGGGACCCTGCTTTTTGGCATGGCTTTAATTTCACCTACATCTGTATTTCAGTCTGGTGCTTTAAGGTCTGCTGCAATTTAGCAATCTAATGACCTGTATTGCAAGCAGACTGACTACGCCATTGTAGCACAGTTAGTTGCCATGCTAAATTATGGGGTAAATACATAGACCCACAGCAGCATGTGCAAAGAAGAATCCAATTCTTCATGCTCAGGCCTACTAAATGTACTCTAGTGGAACTATCTCTTAGAACCATAAAATACTAGGCAAATAGACTGAACAGAAGTAGCACTAGAGCTATCATTACTTGTGGCGGATTGAAAGCTGCTTAGTGTATATAAAAATAAGGAATGGGCTGAAAGTAGGCAAGCAATATTTTTGTTATTGTATCATACCTCATACCTGCCCTCAGCATTCCTCATCTCCAGTCCCCAGTCTCTTCCGTTTGCTTCCTCCCTCTTCCTCCCCTCCCACCTCCAAGTGATGCCATGGGAAGGAGGCAATTTATCTGTCTCTCTGCCATTCCATGGACTTTTATGTAACAGTGGGAGCAGAGGCGTTTGTTTCCAATGGACGTTTGTTTTACAAAGTTATATTTTTAATAAACTACTTTTCCAAAAGGCTTGTACATCCTGGAAATTTGTAGCATGCAGTTCTGTGTCACCCATCCAATGCTCAGTTCTTAGCAAACGGAACCAGGGGCACTGCCGTCCTAGGGGGTTCTGGCATTTCTTACAATAGCAGCAAGGAATTCAATGAATGACCACCTGCACTTTTGAAATAAGGACATCACGGCCTGCACTGTGCTTTCGTGGCTTGGTCCATAACCACTGCTTTTTGTTACATGCACTGAACTGTGGGAGGTCTACCAATGATTGTCAAAGAGCAATAGCTTAACTCTTGCTACAGATTTTATCAGGCTCCTTAAATTAGATATATGGGGAAAAAATGGAGTCATTACAAAGACCTAAAGAAGTCAGAGAAGTTGGTCATTGCTCTGCTGAGGTGCTTTCCAAAATAGTATCAACATTTCCTTCATGGGGAACTTTCAATCACTCAGCCTGTCAGTGCATGTTTCTGGATTTTTAAACAAAATCAGCACAACTCAGTTCAAATCTTTGAAGTCCATACCAGTTTGTCAAAAACTGAGTCACAGTGACGTTTCTGTAAATGTAAAGCAACACACAGACAGCTCAATGTTGCTGTACTGTGGAAAAAGCTTGAGAACCTTTGCCTGGTGCAAAAGGGTCAGTATAGAATGGAACAGGAAATGAATTCAAATGACATTTAATGAAAAAAAAAAAGAATTTGAAAATGCAAGTTTTCAGCCCAAAACATTTAAGAAATTACATGTTGGTAACTGCAAAAATCTAAGCCTTTTTCAAAAGGTAAGTTTTGTTTTCAACAGAAATTGAGAGAGAAAATGAAGAAGTGGAACAGGCAGCCTCTTTCATTCCTGGATTGCTTTTTATATATTTAAAAACTTAACACAGAAGACACTGTCACCATCACATCTTCAGCTACCCAGTCATCCCTAAAAAACTTCTGAAATGAGAAGCAAAGCAATATTTTGTTTAAAAAAACCCAACAAATGTATTTGAGGAGAAGGGTTCTCTCAATCATATTTAGACTGTAGCTGGACAGCTTAGCTTACAAAGGTCAACACCTTACATCCCCCTTCACACTCCATCAGACATTTCTCATGGGAATCAGGTCGCAACTAGGGAAAAGACAAGGCCAGCAACTGGCTGGATAAAACTGAAAAATAAACCAACACTTGCTGGTGCTGGTGCTTTGGACTGTCCAAGTACTGTGCACTTAGGCCCTGGTCAGTGGGTATGGGAAGAGAGCAAGAGGAGGGTCTAGACTCGTTAGGTAAGCACTGTATATTTCTGGCAGATGTGGGCTGATCTGTTGTAAGGCACTTCTCAGCAATGTGCCCCTTTCTCCAAGAACATCTATTCCGGTCCATTAGCAGAACCACAGGCAAGTTCTCCTTTCTGTGACAGTCCCTGAGTTGCACTGATCAAGTTCTCCCCTCCCTTTCCCCAAACACAAGATGGTCACTAAATCTGCAAAGAAACAGGCCATCAGAGTAGCACGAACCCGGTCAGTAGCCTGCTGGGACACCACCCTTCCGGGAGTCAGATGCAGCAGCCCAGCCATCATCAGTCCGTACAATGGCCTGGACGATAGAACCATTCTTAAACTCAGTTTCATGTTTCCGCTTCTTTAATTCCACTTGTATGCCCTGAAATGCAGAGAGAAGAGTAAACAAGGGGCTTTGCAATGCGGAGCTGGGAATCATCTGGAGTCCCCAGCTCATCCTAGGCTCCTAATGTGCTGCCCCTTTAAAGCACCAAAATAGCACTTCAAAGGGGCAGTATAAGTGGAGCCGGGGGATCAGCTGGAATCCCCAGCTGATCCCAGGCTCCATGCAGCACTGCCCCGTTGAAACGTCACTGCAGCATTTCAAAGGGGAGGCACATGTGATTAATCACATGATTAATCGTGATTACATTTTTAATCACGCGATTAATCACAAATACATTTTTTAAATCCCTTGGCAGCCCTGGCAGAAAGTTGAAACAAAAAATCAAAAACACATAATCCCCAAAGTGAAATGCCTGCAAGCTACATGGAAACTTTTTAAAAACACTTCAAGAGAGAGTCCAAAAAAGTGCCACTATAGCTAAACAATAAAGCAGGGTTACTCTATATGGCCAGTTTGTTTGTAGCCCACGGTGCAGTTTGGGTTGATGCAGGGCTCAACACACAGCCCACAGGCGGGAGCCAAACCAAAAAAGTAGTCAATATAATGGTCTTCGGTTGATATGAGTTGAAGTAGTTCAATTCCTGGATTGTCATTGCTCATTAAAAGTGCAAAATTGGGTGGAAAATTGGGTAAATATTGCATTTTACTAATATCAGCAGAAGTGACTTAAATGGGGCCTGTGTGTTGTGTAGTCTTGCCTTAATTTTTGTATTTATGTCCACCAGTGCGAAAGAAGCTATTGCATATATATTTGCATGTCTATGCAACTACACTTAATCTGCAGCCCTTGGCATGTGCTGTATCATTGGAGCCCCCGGGGTTTCCAAAGATGAGTAGCCCCGCAATAAAGTAACAGATATGGTTAGAATCAAAGAGGCATCCTTTAAAAAATGCAAGTTAATCCTACTGAAGGAAATTAAAAGGAGCATAAACTCTGGCACATCACGTGTAAAAGTATAATTTCCCAGGCCAAAAAAGAATTTGAAGAGCAACTAGCTAAAGACTTAAAACTAATAGAAAAAAAAAAGAAGTACATCAGAAGAAGAAGCCTTCTAGATAATCAGTGGTGCCACTGGATGATTAAAGTCTCCATGAACACTCAAAGAAGATAAGGCTGTTGCAGAGACACTAAATTTTTTTGCGTCAGTCTTTGCTGCAGAGGATGTAAAGGAGCTTCCCACACATAAGCTATTCTTTTTAGGAGACAAAGCTGAGGAACTGTCTTAGATTGTCAACAGAGGAAGTTTTCTAACAAACTGATAAACAGAAATTGGTCAGCCAGCTGGGATTTACCCACAAGTTTTGTAGGAACTCATGAAATTGCAGTGCTACTCACTGGAGGGGAAATAACTCAGTGGTTTGAGCATTGGCCTGCTAAACCCAGGGTTGTGAGTTCAATCCTTGAGGGGGCCATTTAGGGATCTAGGGCAAGTCTGTCGGGGTGGTACTTGGTTCTGCTGTGAGGGCAGGGGACTGGACTCAATGACCTCTCAAGTTCTCTTCCACCTCTATGAGATATATATCATATCTATATCTCCTAATAGTCAGGGCTTGCCAGCCACACCATCCAGTAATCTGCACATGCTCAGATCACTCAAACCCGGCTCTTCTGGGTTACAGTCTATTCATCCGTGGCGAGTAGATTGTCTTCTTTGTCGAGCCCTGGTAATAGTTAATTCAGCTTCTGTACTGGATGGCTGGAGGATAGCTAATGTGACACCAGTTTTTAAAGAGGTGAGTCTTGTAATGATAGACCAGTAAGCCTGACTTCAGTACCAGGCAAATCAGTTGAAAACTATAGGAAAGAACAGAATTAATCAGGCACCTAGATGAACATGATTTGTTGAGGAAAGAGAGTCAACAATACATTATAATTCTTTGGGATGGTTAATGAGCATGTGGACAAGGATGATACAGTCGAAGTACACTATCCAAAAACCTTTCATACAGTCCCTCACCAAAATCTTGTAAGTAGAGTAAGGAGTCACAAGATAAGAGGGAAGGTCCTCTCATAGATAAAATAGGAAACAAAGGACAGGAAAAAGTAGTTTTCAGGTGGAGAGAGGTAAATAGAGGTGTCCCTCAGAAAGGCTGTTCTAGGACCACTATTGTTCAATATAGTCATAAAGTATCTGGAAAAAAGAGTGAAACAGTGAGGTGACAAAATTTGCAGATGACACAAAACTACTCAAGGTAATTAAATCCCTGGCAGATTGTAAAGAACTACAAATTATCTCACAAAAGTGGATGACCGGGCAACAAAATGCCACATGAAATTCAATGTGGATAAAGGCAAATGAATGCCCATTGGAAAACAATCCTAACTCTACATATAAAATGATGAGGTCTAAATGAACAATTATACAACAAGAAAGATTTTTGGAGTCTGAAAACATCTGCTCCATGTTCAGCAGCAGTCAGAAAAAGCTAACAATGTTGAGAACCATTAGGACAGAAAACATCATAATACTGCTATAAAAATCTGTGGTACACCCACACCTTAGATACTGGGTGCATATCTGGTCTCCCAATGTCAAAAAAGACGGTATTAGGGTACAGAAGTACAGAGATGAGCAACAAAAGCAATCAAGGGTCTAGAACAGCTTCTGTATGTTAAGAAGACTGGGGACTCTCAAATTGTCTCATTTTCAGGCTGAAGAGGCAGTATGAGAGGTCTATAAAATCTTGATTGGTTTGGAGAAAGTGTTATTTACTCCTCATTTCAAAAAAACCTTTAGGGTGTGTCTAGACTACATGCCTCCGTCAATGCTGAAGGGGCCAGCAGGCCATGTGGCGGGACCCCTGGTTAAAATGGTTTAATTGGTTAAGCTTTAACAATTAACTGGCTAACTATTCTAACCAAGGGCGGATGAGAGTTTTGCGGGGCCCAGGGCACGGGGCCTATTGAATTGCAGAGCCTGGAGCAGCACAATTTTGCTCATGCACCACAGCCGATAGGTAGTAGCATCTGCACAGGGCCTATTGAAGCGCGGGGCCTGGAGCAGCCGCCCTGCTCGCTCTGTCCTAGAGCCACCGCTGATTCGAACATCCCAACCCTTCAAATGCCAAAAGTTGACTTGGCTTCATACTCAGTTCTTCAGGATCATGAAGCAATTGATGATACATTGAGATACAGCCTGTTCAAAATGTACTGGGTTTGAAGTTGTTACAGACTTTGTGCCTAGCCCAGGCTAAGGTATTGTGAAAGGCTTTTGAACAATCCAGGGTCAAGGGACAGCATTGCATTAGTCCAGGGCTGGTTTGCAGCTGAACTTCTAAGCAGAAACACAATGCAACATGGAAAAAATATTCCCATGAAATATACCCACAGCACCTGCGGAACCA